GAAGGGGAAGGGGAAGGGGAAGGGGAAGGGGAAGGGGAAGGGAATATTCCATCCTTACCAGGAAAGTGCCCCAGAAGGAGAATGGAAAATCCTCTGGAATCTTACCTACTACATAGACCTCAGCATATCTGTGGTGACATTCCCTGCTTTGGTGACAGCAGTACAGGGCGTTATAGAAGAAACCTCCTCTAGGCTGGGTTGCCTTCAAGTTGAAAAGAGTAACTTTGCTGACACGATTGCTCACTAGGGAATATTGGCTGGCTGGGATTTCTTCTGCTAAATTCAGCCACCAAACCACCTCCCGGGCCTCCACGGGCTGGCTTCTGTTTTTATAGATGCACAGAAGCGAAATGTTGGAGCCAGCACTGGTCAGGGTCTTGGGAGGGAAGTACAGGACTTGAGCTGCATGAAAAGGGGGGAAAAAGGGGGGAAAAAAATCTATTGAGATTTGAATCTGAACCAGAAAAACATAAAAGCATTTGTCAATAAAATAATAATAAAAATAATAATAACAATAAACGTTTTTTTATATTATTATTAGTAGTAGTACAGATTAAGAAATGAGCCTTGGGCTGTCTTCCTCCATACCTGAAGTTTCTAAATTCTGATTTAAATAATCTTTAACCTCCCCAGGTAAATCTGAGTGAAATGAGCAGAAAACCCCTGGAGGGTGCAGTGCAAACAACACACAGCAGCATGAGGGGAACAAAATAAAATTAATCCATCCTTCTAGGAGCTGCTGTTCCTCCTTCTCCTGAAGTCAGCTGGAGATTAAAGTCCCAAAAACTGATTTTACACTTCAATTAACACCAAATTGTAGCAGTGCTCCAATCCAGGCTCAAAGACACTGAATTTTCCAAGGATTTAAAGAAGTTTAAACTCAGCCCCCATTGCTCAGGGATTATGGGAAGATACAGGTGGAGCTGGGATGGAGCTGTTTGCAAAAAACAGCATTAAATCCTTTAAAGCTCAGGTTTGCTTCCCCCACTGAGGAACCAGGCAGAGATTTTTCAGATTTCCCCCAAATTCCCCTTTCTCAGGCAGTAAAGCAGATTCAGGATCTGTTGTTGAAGGTTTCATTGGGAAAAAAAGCTCTTTTTCCAAGCTTTAGTTCTTTCTTTGGTGCAGGCCCAGGAAAAGCAGAGAGTTCAGAGAATTCAGAGACCAAAATATTCCCTGGGAATTCTGAGCAGAGCATGGAAAAATACAACAAAATAATCAGAAAGTCAGTTTTGCATGGAGAGGAGGAGAAGGAGGAAAAGGAGAAGGAGAAAGAGGAGGAGGAAAAGGAGGAGGAGGAAAAGGAGGAGGAGGAAAAGGAGAAGGAGGAAAAGGAGAAGGAGGAAAAGGAGAAGGGGTCCATACTTTATGGACTGTGTAAAAATTACATTTGATTTTGCTCTGTGGAAAAACATTAGCTTTAGTTCAGCTACAAAACCAAAACCAGAAGTGAGAAAAAGCATCAGGAGCAAAATCTTGAATTGAGGGGAGATTCAGTGCTGCCAACTGGAGTTGGAAATGGAAAAGCTCTGAGGAAAAAAGCTTTTTGTGGGTCTGAGCAGGTGCTGCTGAGGGAGTGACAGCCACAGAAGTGTGTTCTCCAGAATTCCTAATGCCAGCCCAGCACAGGGAAGGAGCTGAGCCTCAGGAAAAGCCAGGCAAGAAAAGCTTCCACAGGAATTTTCATCCCAACTCAAGTTCTCCAATCCCAAAACTAGAAAATCAGCTTTATTCCAAAATCCTGCAGGTGTCCTACCTGCCAAGGTGAGGTTGTAGGGCGAGCTCCAGTCACTCCAGAAGCCTGGACCACGGAGATTCCTGCTCCTCACTTGCACTGAGGATGGAGAGTCCAGCAGGGCATTGTCTATGGCCACTGAGTTTTCCAGAGCGACCTGAAGCATCTGTTGGATTATCCAAACCCATTATTGTTGTAAAATGAAACAGGAGAAGAGACAGAGGGAATGTAAATAAATTGTATGGAGTCAAAATTCCCTGAATTCCCTTATCAGGCCTTCTCTTTACACTCAGTTTTTGGGAGAGCTGAGTAAATCAATTTGCTCCTTAAGAGACAAGAGATAATGTCCTCATATTCTACACAAAGATTTTCTAGGTTTTTAGGTAGCAAGATGGGTAAAAAAAAAAAATCTTCTTTCATTAAATTTCCTTTCAATTTGAGAGTGGTGAAAGTTGTATAACTCTGTGGAAAATGAGTTGTTTCATTATGAGTTGCTAATTAACAGCTGCTTATTATTCCAGAGCCACTTGCGTGGTAGGAACAGAAAAAAAAAAAGGATCCAGCAGGAGATGGGGCTTCTCTAAGTGTGGGCAGATGTGAAATCCAGCTTTCCCGGGAAAAAACAGCATGCCAAGCCAAACTTTCCTGGGAAAAAGCAGTGTGCCAGGCCCAGCTTTCCCAGGAAAAAGCAGTGTGCTAAGCTTGGCTATCCCAGGAAAAAGCAGCGTGCCAGGCCCAACCCCACCAGAACAGCCACCCTGTCAATCCAAGACCAAGGAGATCGGTGGGAATGCAGGGATTTGGGAATGCTGGGGTTTGGGAATGCAGGGATTTGGGAATGCTGGGGTTTGGGAATGCTGGGGTTTGGGAATGCTGGGGTTTGGGAATGCAGGGATTTGGGAATGCCCAACCCAGGAAGGCACGGAGCTGCCTCACCTGGCTGTGGCCATGTCCTGGAGGAGCAGAGATCCTCACTTGGTGCTGCAGAGGGAAGGGCAGCAGGGCAGGGCTGGACCAGCAGAGCTTCACCTGGCCCCTCTCAGCCAGCTCCAGGTGCAGCTTCCCGGGGGCTTCAGGCCTCACTGCACACAAATTAATCAACAATTAACCCCAGCTCGAGTCACAATCCAGGCCTTAAACTCAATTTTCTTAAACTCAGTTCTCTTAAACTCAGTTCTCAAGAGCAGCATGGCAGTGGGGTTGTGTAACATCCCTGGAAAAGTCACCCTGGTGCTGTCACAGTTATCAAGAAATGCTGTTTGACCTCCCATTTCCCTTAAATCCGCAGGAATTTCTTCCCTTTGGCCGTGAGTTTTCCCAGTAGCCAAGCCCTGGCCTGCTGGAAAGAGGGAATGAGGAAGAGAGGGATGGGAATGCTGAGAAAATCGATTTTTGTCACACAATGAACACCTTAGGGAGCTACTGTAATAATTTCTAGGAGTAAAGACAAAATGCAAAGGAAATGCAGATATTAATTTGAATAATTAGCTGGTGTGTTCAGTATTCCAGAACTAATTTTATTGTATTGCCACAAAATGAACTCGTTCCAGAGTTTAAACTGATTCCCATCCTTCCACAGGGATTGTGGCTGTGAAAGGAGGGCTCCAGGAGGTATCCAGTTCCTACTTTTTAATTCCTGTGAACAACTGGAGGTGCAGGAATGACCTTTGGATTGTCTCCTCCCACAACTGAAGTTTTAAAATTCTGATTAAAATAACCAGGAGATTATTAATAATTAATAATTATTTTAATAATCTCCTGATTATTTTAATCAGAAAATAAGAGGGCAAAGTAAAAATGGAGAGTTTGGATATTCCCGTGAGGATGAAGAGAACTCTGGAGTGGGGAATGGATGGGAAATCCTTGGGATTCCATTCCCTGGACAAAGACAAGGAATCAAGGCCCTGTTTCTACCTGGAACTGAGACTGTGTCCTCATTCCTTATTCCAAGTTTTTCCCATGGAAGAGTGAAACCCTGCTCCAAACCACTGCAGGGCATGCAGAAACTGAAGGGAAAACATTCCCAAAATCCCTGGGCAGTGGGCAAATGTTCCCTTCAAATTCCATCTGCACCGGTGTCCAGCTCTCCAAGTGTCCCATTTAAGTTACTGGAATATCACCCAGTCCTATCAAATAGCTCTAATTATTTCCAGCAGAAATCCACCACACCAAACCAGATTTTATTTAATTATTTATAGCAAAAATCTCTTATTGTTTTCAGCGTAAATCCACCACACCAAACCAGATTTTATTTAATTTCTACTTCTAGAGCATTTCAAAGCAATTAACTTCATGAAGGCCAGCAGGGAGTGATTGGGGAGGAGGCAAACAAAAAAATCAGTGGCTTTTCCATCACATTTCCCTGAATCAGATCCCAAGGATAATGAGGGTTGTGATGCCACCTGCTCCACTATCAGCAAATAAAATCCACGTGACACAAGCACTCAGAGTTTTAAATTCAAAATAGTTTTAACTGAGCTAAATCTTGGCAGAACATATATTAATATTGTGCATTTTTAAAACATGCTTCACTAAGCAGAGCTAACTGGTTGTGTCGTTTTTAAATACTGGCAGACTCCAGCCTGAATTTTTAATTTCTGCCTGCAGCATCATTTCAAACCAGCAGGATGAAAAATGCCAGCTCTCATCTTCCAAATAAGCCCACCCAGAGATTTTAACTGGTTCTGTCTGCAGAGCACATCAGTTAGGAGGAAGTTTATAAAATTCCCAAGTTTTTAAGTTAATAAGATTTTCATAAAACTTTAATTATTTTTTTTCCCTGCAGCTGACGGCTCCTGCCTTTATGAAATCTGCCCAAATCTGTAATAACTGGGCAAGCTGGATAGCAACACATGTATCAAATTCACCATGTCAGGAGAGTCTGAGCTTGATCAAACACACAGGAATGTTTTCCAGCTTGGGGTTTGCTAAAGAAAACATCAGGATCAGAGAGCTGCTGGGGAAAATGGGTGGGATTCTTTGCTAAGCAACTTTGGGAAAGTTTTTAAATTTAAAAATTTAATTAATTTAAATTTAAATTAAGTCCTCAGCAACAAGCTCCACCACAGAGAGGTCCTGATTAGGAAGGAGCAAGATGAGAAATCACATGTTGAGTGTTGGGCTGTGGTTTGCAGGGGAGCCAGGACAGGGATTAGGGAGCTTTTCCTGCCCAGCAGAGCCATCCCGGGACACGGGGCTCTCACCAATGTCCGTGGGCTGCAGGGCCAGCAGCGGGGAGCCCAGGGCTGTGACACCTGCCACCATCTCCAGCCACAGCAGGTAGGTGTGGTTGAGGCTCGGGAAGGCCACCAGGCACTCACAGGTGGCCCGGTCCCCGCAGTCACACGGAGCCACCCGCACTGTCCCCTGCAGAGAGCTGGTGGATGCAGCTGCCAGGGACAGCTCTGATCTGCAGGGGGGAAAAACAAACCAGGAAACAAAACAATTCCATAATTTATTTTTTTTTTTTTGTTTGGCTATCTGGATATGGTTTATTGATCAGAAAATTCAATGAATGAATGAAAAATAATAATAATCGTAACCAATCGCTTTAACTTTGCTGCTTCTCTCTTTTTAAATGGTTTGCAAGCAATGAAAACAATTCCATGAAAGCATTCCCAGATCTTTTCTAGGCACAAAGTGTGGTTTTACCTTGCCATGGCAGCTCCCTGCCATCCCAAAAGAGATGAGTTTCTAATTCCCATTCATGAGGTACTGAAATAATACAAAACAATTTAATGTTCCCTCCAGCTCCTGCCACAATGGAGCATTGCAGGGAAAATCATAAGCACGGAGTGGCTTGGATTGGGAGGGATCATCAATCCCATTCCCTGCCATGGACAGGGACATTTTCCACTATCCCAGGTTGCTCCAAGCTCCCTCCCTGGACATTTCCAGGGCTCCAGGGGCAGCTTCTCTGGGAAATCCATTCCAGGGCCTCCCCACCCTCCCAAGGAACAATCCCTTCTCAATATTCCATCTAAATCTTTGGAACCAGCAGTTCCCAAAGGATTCTTCCTCATCTCCACCCTTCAGGCTCTTCCAGAAACCCACATTTATGGAATTCTGCAGGTATCCAGTGACTAAGGCCTCCTCAAGGTCAAGGACAAGGAATTCAATAGTGCACATCATTTGTGGCCAAATTTCTCCCAGCAGCAAAGCCAAGACAAACCCTGACAGTTCAATCACCTCGGATCCTTCACTGCCTTTCACCTTTCATCCTTACCCAAAAACAAAACAAAACAAAAAAGCTCCAGTTTGGAATTGTTCTGAAGCGATTTTGGACTTGTATCTGTCTCCAGTAAGGGTTTTGTTTTACTAATTCAGAGAAAGAAATGGAAATTCATGGAATAAGAGCCTTTCTGTACATTTTTCCAATGGTTTTATAGCTGGCATGAGTCACTGGAACACTTGGATTCAGGGAGGGCAGAGATCTCTGCATTGGAGGAGAGGGAAGGACAAGATCTGCTGCTTTATTTTTTGGGTTTAGTCCATTTGTTATCTGCTCCATTTATCTGAGAGCACAGCACAGGGAACTGGGCATGATTCACCAATTCCTTTTCCATATCCTGCCCTGCTCAGAGAGGAAAAAGTCAAAAAAATGAGGAGAACTATGGAGGATGGGGAAGAGCTCAGGCTGGGACTGCAGGGAAACCACTCCTGGATCATCCCAGCCCCACTCCCCTCATCCCTCACTGATCTTCCTGCATCTTGGGATGCTCTGAACCTGGAAAAACATGGAATTCTGGCAGCACTGCCCTCCCAGCTCCTGTGCTCTGCAGGAACAGCCCCGAGCAGCTCCATATCCAGGTATGGTTTACATTTATTCATCCCCCAGACAGCCAATCCTGACATTCCTAAAATAATTCTCACCAGGAATCGCAGACTTTAGGGCGCAGGAATGATGCTGATGGTATCTGGCAGACATAGAGCTCTGAAATTCCTTGGAATAATTTTGTTTTTCTACATGTTTCCTCCTGAATTTCCTTTCAAAGACTTCTTAGAATTTTCTTTGAAGCCTTCTCCTGCAGCTCACAGATTTTACTGGTCTCCAAAAGCCACAATCAAGCCATGAAAATGCAGTTTTTCCTCCAAACCGTGCCTTTGATCTGATCCATCTGGAAAGTGGTTACCACCACACCAGCCCCTCATCATTCCTAATAATTATTTCAATTTTTAACCATCCAAATGCACTTGTTTGCACCAAGAAAAAAAGCAGTGTAAAAGGAGGAAAATGCTAAAGACCTCCTCTCCTGATTTATTAACCCTCACAATCAGAGGAGACGTCAGTGGCTCCTGCACCCAAATCCTGTCACAGAGAGTTCTTTTACCCAACACCTTGGAAAACCTCAGGAAAAAAAACATTTAGGACATCCTAAATGTTTTATATTTATATTCCACCCCTTTCAGAAGGTGATGCTTCCCCTGCTAAATTCAACTGTGGCCCCATGGGGAACTTGGAGCCTTTCAATGAGATGCTGCAAAATGTCCTGGCTGAATTTCAATCCTGTTCTTGCAATTGAAAAGAAAAATAAAAAATAAAAAATAAAAAAAATAAAGTGACATTTATTTTAGGAAGAATTACCTGAATTTTCAGGAAAGGTTCATCCCAACCAGGTGGTTGTGAAATAGGGTCATCCCTATAACATCCCTGTAACTCTTCTGCCACATATATATATATATATATATATATTATATATCCTTTCCAAGCACTGCCTTTATTTGGAATGGATGGAGCAAAGCTGTCTGGGATTTTTCCATAAATATTTTCCAATGTTTTTGATCAAGGGTAGCTCTAGAAAAATCCCTGTTTGAAGAAGCTGCCCCATTAAACTGCAGCAGATCTGCCTCTAATGAACCTCTAATGAGAGGTTGATTTGCTCTGACTGAGAGGCTCGATGCACAACTGATGCACTTGAGGAAAATTGCATGATTTGTCCTTAAAAAACTTGGGAATTTAGTCCCAGAACTGGAGGAGAGCTTCCCAGGTACTTCAAATAAGTCAAAATATGAATGCAGCCTCATGAGCTCAAAGGGCAAATGATAATCAGTGCTCAAAATTGAACTGGGAGCATTCTCCAAGGGGATCCCTGAGGCTGAAGATTCCATGGAATTCACCATGGATTTTACAGCATTCCTGGGATCAGACAGCTGGAAAGATGTTTGGTAGACAATTAACCCAACTTGTCTAATGAAGCTTTGGAATAACCTTTTCTCTTCTATTCTTTTTGAATAATCTTTTCAAAGCTGCATCCTCTCCCTCACCTGAACCTCTCACACTGAGCACTGCCATGGGCAGAACATTCCCATTCCTGATATTTCCAAGCAGGAAAACTGTGGATGTGGTAAATAAGAGGAGACTTCTCTAGTGCTGAAAAAAAATAAAAAAAATCTGTGAGAGACCCAAGCTTTTCTGTTGTAGATTCTCCTGTATCATTATTTTTGTGCATTGCCCTGATGTGAGAATCCTGGCTGGATCTCCAGACTCCCAGGGAGAAACACATGCCAGGAATGCATATTTTTAAAACTGGGAATGTTTTCAAGGTATTTTGGCTCAGGAATAAAATGTTAAGGTATCAGAGAGCCAACAGGGAAAGCTGTCACCTTCCCAAAGGCTGAAATGCTTGTGCTTGCTGCTCCCCCAGATCACAGGGACCCTAGAAGGGAAATATTAATATGGAATGTGGGGAGGGAAATGAGTTCTCCAAGGTTCTGCTTTGTTTCTCATCTTTGCAGCAGAGAGGAATCAAATAGAGACTCTGGTGAGTCCACAGTCACATTCCTGAAGTGAATGGCACTCACTGAATTCCCTTCCTAACACGAGGAAACCTCTCCACCCAATCTGGTGGCATCCCCAAAAATTTCAAAATAGAGATTTCTGCCCTGGGATCACTGGCAAAGCTTTTCCTGTGCAGCTGAGCCTGGATGGAGCAGAGCAAAGCCAGAGCTGCTTCCCCCACAAACACCCATGGAATGATATTTCAGGAATCAGAGTCATGAGGAACACTGGAAATGGGAACCCACCTCACCAAAATGGGATTCAAATATTGTGTCAGCTAAACAACCATATTTATTCCTAAATAATACACTTGGTTTCTACTCTGATTACAGGGATGACTTGTGCCAAATGATGTCTGGCTGTTCAGGAAGTCCTCCTCTATAAATTCAGCTCATTCAACTATTTCAGCTGATCCTGTTTCATAAGGAAATGAAATCTGGCTGTTTATACCAATCCTTCAACTCTATCAATAATCCAGAAAAAAGCCCAGGGTGGTTTTATGGAATCAAACAGATCTTTTTATAACCAATGAATGCAAGACCTGCCCATGCCACAGGCAGGATGATTCCATCTCTCAGCATTCCAGGGAATGTTCACCACAGTGACAACGAGATGAGAGCAGTCTTTGCCATTCTATCACGTTAAGCACCACAGTTACCTCAAGAGAGACAATATTATGGTCAAAAACAAATAAAAAGCAGAACCAGGATTTAAAATTAAGAAATTCTAACAACAAAGATACTTTAAGAAGTCAATGCTGATTTCATTAAAGTATTTTAAGAAACATGGGAAGGACAGAGAAGGGGGACTCTCCATTCCAGCCATTTTTCATTCAAAAAGCCATAAACTTTCCATATTATCCAGGATTACTTTGAGACAGGACAAAGTAAAATCTGCAGAGCTGAAGCTCCCACTATGCTGGAAGCTTTAGGAAATGCTTTCAGTTTCCCAGACAAATTTAACAGGGCCTGTACTTACCCAGAGTATAAAAGATTCACCTTCAGGTCAGCTCTCAGGTCCAGCTTCAAAAGTTGCAGGTTACAAACCAACAGGTCCAGCTTGCCTCTAATCCAGCATTCCATGTTCCAGCTCCAATCTGGACAAAAGAAAGGGATCACACATTTCTGAACTGCATTAAAACAAAATAAAACATCTGGACAGAACTCACTCACAAAGAGAGGAGGAACAGATATTCCTGAAAGAGAGGCTGCACCACAAATGGGAAAATATTTATGAATAATCTGAGTTGGGCACCTTCAACACTTCCAAGGCTCCAAATCCATGTGGTTCTGCACTGTCATGATTAAAGAAGGAATATTTTTTACCTGGATTTAGGGACAAGGCTGCAGGGTGAAGAAAAATGAAGCTGATGGTGGTTGCTGTGTCCTGGGAAGTGGCACAGCCTGAGCTGGGGATTTGTGAAATGAAATTCTACCTCCTGAGTCAATGAGATTCCTGGCAGCAGGATGCCAGCTCTGTGTTCCTCAGAGACAGGAGGAGGAAAAAAACCTTGGAAAAAAAAATCCTAACCCATGTACAGATATTTACTGCATATTTATTATTTAAAGCCTCATAATTCATGTAGAAATGATGCCATTTGCTCTCCATCTCCCCTGCCTGCTGATGGGAGTTTAAAGCCCATATCCACCAAAAATATTTAAGTATTCTTCACAGTGTCTAAACTCCTTTGAAGATCTGGGTTTATGTCCTCTTATGCAGTGCTCCATATTTTATTCACAATCCCTCTGGAAAGACAGACAACTTTTTTTCCCTTTTGAAACTGTGCTGTACAATTCCTCCATCTTCTACATTCTGAGGAAGGATTTTGCCACCCTGAGGAAGGATTTTGCCTCTCTGAGGAAGGATTTTGCCACCCTGAGGATGGATTTTACCTCTCTGAGGAAGGATTTTGCCACCCTGGGGAAGCATTTTTCCACACTGTGTTGCCTGCCCAGGATAAAAGTGAATCCCCATTAATCCAACCCACCCCTCTCCTCCCAAAATACAAAAAAACCCAAATATTTTTGCAAGAATTAACTCCTTGTTCTCTTGAGTGCTAAACCCACCTATTTGCTGAGGAGCAGAGAGATTTATTTCTGAAGGAATAAACTTCCTTGCCTGCATGCTTGCTTTGTACAAAGAACAATCAATGTTGCTGGCACTCCAAAGGCAACACAGAAAATTTTCTTCATTCATTAAAGGTTTGATTTTGGATGCTCCAAGTTGTCTCCTCAAACCAGACCAGCTCCCAGCTGAGAAAGGGCTCAACAAGGTCTCATTCAGCAGCACACAGGGCAGTGTGAAATTCCTGGGAGAAACTGGATGGACCATGCAATGGGCAGCTGCCATCTGAAGGAAATCTGCAAATATGAAGGGAAAAGTATTGGAAATAAAAGGAAAAGTTCCTAATTTTAAACAGTTAAAAGAGAGTGGTTGATGTGGTACAGAAATGTATTCTTTAGGTATAAATCAGGTTGTTTCCAGGGGTAAAGACAAAATTAATGAAAACATCCCCTCTAGGTAAAGACAAAATTACAAAAAAATCTTCTCTGAATGGTGTCACAAGTGACAGATTCCAGCCCTTTACCCCAACCTCACTGCACATAAACTTGTTTTCTCAAACTCTTGAAAAAAGTCAAGGCCAAGATTGTAGGCAAAGCATCTCTTGGGGATAAATTTGTTTTTAATAACCAAAACTACAGTGAATCCTAAACTGAAGTGAATTCTAAACTGCCTGTGAGTCTCATCTTCCCATGCAATGCTGGAACAGATCCCCTCCAGCTCTTTTAAAACAGCTCAATTTCAATAAAAATATCATCCTGTTGTAAATATAAAACACAGTCCCACTGTAACTCTTAAATAAAAAACGCCAATATTACTGTGGGTGCAACTGCACCACCCCAGGGCATTATCTGGGAAGTGAGAGGCGGGAAAATGATCTTTTTTGTTCCCATCAGACTCCAAATAAAACCACTCTGAGCACGTTTGTTGATGTCATAGCTTGAGTCGTGCTCACAATGGTTTAGAGAAGGATGAGCAGGAAACAACTTCCTGTAAAACATTCTGAATTTAAAGATTAAAGCTCTACTTGCAGCAAGGCACAGGGGCATTGGTGCACTTTGTATTTTGCTCAGGAAGGGCAGAAATTTTAAGCAGTTCATTAAATAGAAATTAATTGATGCTCCATGCCTTGCAACAGCCAAACTAAGAAATCCCAGAATATCTCTGGTGCTGTTTGATTAGTAGAAATTCATCATTCTCTAGCACATGAGTTAAATAATACCAAAGTATGAAATGAGAGCTGTAAAAACAGCTGTTGAAAACAGAAGATGCAGAGTGTTACTCTGCAGAGGGTTTTGCTTTCTCTCCACAGAGATTTTGTGGTGCCAGACTCCTGCATGGTTCTGCTCTTCCACTAGGCAGAGTTTGTGCCTCTGTAAATCCCAGCTTCATCAGGCCTCCAGCAGGAGCAGTGGAGCAAACAAACTCTCAGGCCACAAGCCACGATGAAAAAAGGGACAAAAAAGGTGGCACAGAGCGGGACAGAGAGTCAGCACTGTCCCCAGCTCATCTCTTTGTCAAGGAACACCCACCTCGTGTCTCACAGATCATCTCGAGGGATTAATTAAATCTCATAAAGTTAAAAAATGTGCCCAGCTCCTTTTTCAGGAACAGAAAAAATGAAGTTCAATGACCCAGAGGAAGGCCTGACTCGCAGCTCTGTCCCCAGAGCAGGAGCGTGGCTGGGTGAGCAGGGCCTTCAGATGGTGACAAACTGCTCAGAAATCCCAGGAAGCCTCCCTGGAGCATCCAGGTTTTCCAGTTAAAGCTACTCAATATGTTCAGATCACAAAAGGCTTCAAAAGAATTTCAACAATGCAATATTTGCTAGTGAGTGGATAAAAGTACATATAGAGCAAGATAAAAAGGTGTTTATGCATATAAGAGGTACCTAAATCTAATGATTTATTCATCTTTTTGATTCATATCTTGTAAAGATAACACCAATTTTCCAAATAACTCCACTGGATTACAGGGTTTGCTTTCTCCCTAAGCACCATCATTGAAACCCTTTAAACAGTCCTTATTTTAATTAAAAAAAAATGTAAAAAAGAAAGGCAAATACCAGCTGTCCTTGCAGAGCAGATGCCAATATTGTCAGAGGCATTTCCCAGTTTATGAATGCAGCATTTGGAGAGAGCTGAGCACCCTCTGGCCATGCGCCATAGGGAGCAGGAATGGCAGCATCCTCCAGGAGCACAGGAATTTTCCTTCCACTTTAGGGCAGCAAAACAAACTCCCCACATATTTTAATTTTATCAGATCTGTCCAGGGCATTTCTTTGGATGTGTTCTGAGTCAATATATTTATTTTTACTGATGTTTCCTGAGCTGAAAAGTTCCCTAACCCTAGCCCTATCCCAAACTGTTTTTTTGGGATATTTTTTAGTGACTTACCCATCAGCACAAACGTGGTTGGGATGATTTGCCAACACATCTGGTAGAACTGACCTGAAAAACACACAGAAAATTAATGATGATTATAATCATATAATTATCATATAATGATAATTATAATTATCAGTCTATTATTTCATTTTGGTGCATTTCAGTTCATTTGATGCTCATACCTTTGTAAGCAGGATCATGGAAAACCAGAATGGTTTGGAAAGGAATTTAAAAATCATCTCGGTCCAACACTCTGGGATGGGGAGAAACATTTCTCTCCTCACCAGGAAGGGAAGAACAGGCCAAAAAGGCAGAAAAAAATCAGAATTTTCCAAGTGCTGCATACACAAAGGCACTCACCCATTTCAACAGTGAAGACTTCACTAAACTTTATGGCAATGTTTCATTATTGTTCCTTCATTTCACATACTTTGTTCTTTTCTGTTTTCATCCAATAGTTACATAAATTCTGCTAAAACATAAATATATTTTTGTGCTTAAAGCTCCACAGAGGAGAGTTTGGCTGCTGTTGTAGTCAAGAACTGAGTGCTGAGTAAAACCCATGCCTAAAGTCAGGCAGCAAATGCCAGGGTGAGAAATTCCACTTAGGGAATCTCTCCAAGGGGTTCCTGAAATATTCTGAATATTCCTGAGATATTTCTGAGGACAGTTTCCTTGAGAACATCCCAGGAGCCAAAAGAGGCAGTGCCAAGGTTATGTAATGGCCTCGCAGTTTGGGGCTGCATGTCCTAGAAAATACATTGCTTTACATATTCCATATCCACCTGAAGCAGCAGCCAGCTGCCCAGGGAAGTGACAATTCCCAGATCCTTGTCTCCCTGCCTGCTCTCCCACAAATTCAGCTGAATTTCTCCAGCACCATGCTCTGCAGGATCAGTCAATCCCATCCACTTTTCTCCCCATCCACTGGCTGCTTTTCAGCTCCATTTTCAGAAATTACAGAGGGAATCTTGGATTTTCCCAGCCCCTGTTTCAGGGGATAATTTGGCTCACAGCTGGTGGGTGGTATCTGTTCCTTTTCCAATAGTTTATTCAGTTTTATTTATTTATTTATTTTAAAGTTTATTTTATTTTTATATTTTTATTATATTTTTTATTAATATTTATTTATATCTATATATTTATTTATATCTATCTATATTATATTTATTTTTATTTATTTATATTTACTTATATTTATTTATATTTATTCTATTATATATTTTATTATATTATATAATTTTAATTTTTATATTTTTATATTTTCTCATTTATATATTCTTCTTACAAACATTTCTTATTATTTCTTATATATTCTTATTACAAACATTATTTATCTTATTTATTTATTTAAATTTATTTAAATTAATTAGTTTATTCCTATTAAAGAGCCATGAGGGCCAGAGGAATTATGGAGCTATCAGGTCATTTTCACAAAGATACAGGCAGGAATTGTTTCCAAATAATTGAAATGAGTTAGATTTCTCCCTAATTTCAGAAATAAAAAGTACCTTTTAAAAGAGTTTATTTGACATAAATGTGCGTTATTCACACTATTAAATGGTTTAGTGAGAAACAGCCCATGTTGCTCTTTCACAGGTGCAATGAAAATTCCCTGTCCATCCTTCAACCACTTCCCAGCAGGAAACTATCAGAGATCACTTCCAAGAAAACTGGAAATCCATGTCCAGAATTTATAAGGTTATCCATGAGAGTTTCCCTCATGAAATACCCATTTACACTGAGAAGAAAACAACCACAGAGCTCCAGAATACAGAAGAAAAATTATAATTTATATGTAGTTTAGTGAAGGTAAAAGGCTTTTGAATTTCCTGATGGAAGTGAAAAATAATTAAGGGAGAATTTCTCCATGGAAAGGGTGGTCAGGATTGGAAGGGGGGTTTGGAATTCCCATTCCTGGAAGTGTCCAAGGAACTCCTGGAGTTGGCACTCAGTGCTCTGGCCTGGGGACAAGGTTGGGCTTGATGGTCTTGGAGGGCTTTCCCAACCTTAATGATTTTGGGATTCTGACAAATAAATGGCCAGACAGAGCAATCAGAGATTCTGATGTCAGCACTAATTTGATATTTGGAGCAGAAGGCAAAACCACTTTTCAGCCCAGCTTGGAACCTCCCATCACATCGACCTAGGCTGGTTTTACAGAGGTGTTTTTCCAGTCCCAGCTCCAACAACATTCCTGACCAAACCCCGTGCTCTACATCACCCAAAAGCCCTGTAAGCTGCATGGCCACAGAATCAGCCCTTTTTCTGTTCAAAGTTCAGCCTTCCTTGTGTAAACTTGGCAGAACTGGGTTAAAAGAGCCATCTACAGATAAATTCCAGGGCAGGATAAATGCACAGCTGGAACAGACAGGATTCTCCAAAATTTTTTTCCAGTGAGAACGGTGAACTTGCCAGGATTCCTTACTCCATAGTAAGAAAGAACATAAGTTTTACAGGAACATTTACAGGGAACAGGAAGTTATATAAAGAGAACTATTAAAACTTGTAAGCTCTGTTCTGGAGAGAATAAATTAACAGAGCCAGGACAAATTGGTTTATTTGTGGCTGGGGGAGTGTCCATACAAAATAAAGGAATTGGGGTCCTTTTGAACAAATATATCTCGAATTACCCTGGAACCACTGATTTTGGTGCTGCTGTGTACAAGAAATTTTCTGTATTCTTAGCTAAATACTATATTCCTCTCCACATCAACCACAGAACCACAGAATAGCTCAGCAAGAAGAGTTGGGATTAAAACCAAAACACAACTGATCTGACAGGCAAGGAGGAGAATAATTAAATAAAGAAATAAGATTATTATTTTTGTTTACAGGACAGGTGAGAAATCATGGAATTCCCTGGCTTATCAGCATGGAAAACAGGCTGAGCACAACCTGAAATGAGCAGGACCCACACTACCTGCACTGAGCGTGGAAAACCATATAAACCACCCCAGATTTTGCAAGCACTGCACTATACCTGGTTTTAAATATTAAAAATCTCTAGAAAGCATAAAAATATTTTATTAATAATGCCTATTATACAGCATCTTCTGACCTGTTCTTTAAGGGCGCCAAGGGCTTTCCAGTCCTGTTGCTCTGAGCACAGAATTCCCTTTCCCATATATTAAAAATCATTCTTAATAAAGAGTTCTAACTAAGCAATACACACAAAATAGAAATTATTATGACCCACACTGAATAATTTTACCAAAATTAAAGGTTTAATAAAGTCAACCCAAGTTGGGCTGAAGCACAGATACAAATCCAACTCTAAACCTGCTGGTGGAGCCTCTCCCTCAAGACTCCACAGCAAAAGGTCCCGAACTCTACAGAGTTTCTCCAGATCGTGGGATTTCCCTTGTTTGTAGTGAAATCACTTCTCCTTCATGCTGTGAGTCTGTTCTTCCTTACGTGCTGAGCTCCTGGGATTCCTTAGCACTTAAAGCTTGTATCCACGTTATAAGCACACTTAGAAGTTGAGGGCTCTCCGTGCGCTCATTAGAAACTCATTTATAAATGCTGCACCACTCATTAACTTTCCGAAGTTCTCTTCTATCACAGCTCCAGCAGCATCAGGGACTCACAGCCCACAGTCACCGAGATTAATTTTTCTTTTTGCTTCTGACACTGAATCTCAGGGAATATAAAGGAGACAAAGGGCTGGTTCGGGTGTACTGAAACCTCCCTGATCTGTGAGCGGGATGTGGGACCGGCTGCGAGCTGAGTTCAAAGAGACGGTTCAGGAAATTAGAGGGGGGGAAAAAAAAGCGGATAAAAAGTAAATTAACCAACCTGCTTCTCCTTCCTCTCGGGGTTCCGACTGGCGGCTGAAGAGACGCTGCCACGGTGTTGTTCTGATGGCGAACCCCGGACGGGCGCTTCCTTCAGCCCGGCTCCCCTCAGCTCCGAGCCCTCAGCCCGGCTCCCCTCAGCTTTCCCCGGCTCCCTTCAGCTCCGATCCCTCCGTCCCCAGCCCGGCTCCCCTCAGCTACCCTCGGTTCCCCTCAGCTTCCCCCGGTTCCCCTCAGCTTCCCCCGGTTCCCCTCAGCTCCGACCATTCCACCGCCCCGCCCCGGCCCAGCGCCCCGCCCGCCCCGGCCCCTCACACGGGATAGCGGGGAACGAGCTGGGAAAGGTTTGAAACACCGGGATCCCTCACACGGGGTAGCGGGGAAGGAGCTGGGAAAGGTTTGGAGCTCCAGGAGAGGCTGAGGGAGCCGAGAAGGGGCTGGAGAATCCCTGAGGGAGCTGGGAAGGGGCTGGAGAATCCCTGAGGGAGCCGGGAAGGGGCTGGAGAATTCCTGAGGGAGCTGGGAAAGCTCAGCCTGGAGCAAAGGAGGCTCAGGGGGAATTTCTGGCTCTGCACAAGTCCCTGGCAGGAGGGGACAGCCGGGGCGATTTGGGATCTTCTCTTTGGCATAAAAACACCGAGGGTGACCAGGAGCAGGAAGGATAATAATAAAACAGGAAACTAAAATTCCTACAGACACAGCAGGAGGAAGAACCTTGGAAGAGTTAAAGCCCATCTCATTCCACCCTTGCCACTTCGCACTAGATCAGGTTGTCTAAGGCTCATCCAACCTGCCTGGTGCCTCTTAATGACATTAATTAATTCAAATATCTCATGACCTGGTTGTGCTATAATGCAGATATCCAGTATCTGCTGGCTCTAATTTAAGTGCAATTGATAAAAATTACCTTTTACTCCTCAAGTAATGGACTAAATCACATTTTTGACCCTTTTGCATTTCAGCATTTGAGGAGCTGACAGTTGTAAAGCAATATAGCGTATTTAACGGGAACTTGCAATTAAAAAAACAACACCCAAAAATTATTTCAAGGAATTTCAAGCAAGGACTGAGCCCTTTAATTTTGCTTGTGCTCATCCTTTTGTAAAAGGCAGCAAAAATTTCAAACCAGTGAACTAGAAAGTCCCAGTCAGGCCTAAAACTGAGGGTTTTATACAATGGTTTTTCTTTTCAGCAATATTATTTTAAAAGAAATGCAAACCCACTATCTCTGCTTCAATGAGGTATGAAGACAAATATTATTGTTTTCTTATTGCAAACTCTTCTGGAAGAGTAACCAGACTGGAACTATCTTTTGGGTGATGTAAACACTTCTCCCATGAGCAAACCCACTCATTGGCCTTAATTTATTTATTGACTTTCTGTAATTCACAATCCATTTCTTCAAAGCAGCATCAGCCAATTTCACTCCTTATTGAAATAACCCTCTCTTAATTGATAAATTCCATTTTCGACACATTTCCTGATTCTAATATGGCAGTTTGGGAAATCTGACTAAATACAGCTTGTGTCTGAGGTTAGGAAGCCTCCGAAGCTTTCGTATCCCAGACTTTCACAGCATAAGCAAAAGCTGTCAAAAGCTGCCACTAGAAAATCCCTTTATTTAGAATATCTTGAGACAAACATTTGACAAGAGTTTTCTTTCACTTCCCCATGTGCCGCTGCTGTTCAGCCAACCAGGAAAAAGAAATCCCCTACAAAGCCTCCACTAATGCATATTTATTTATTTTTGAAGGTTTTTTTCTCCCTACCTAATACCTCAGCTAAAACTTCCTTGAGCTTAATCCTCTTGAGGAAGCCAGAAGACAGGTAATTCCTCCTTTCAGAGTTCTTTGACGTGTGTTACATGTTTCATACTGATCATCCTTTGTGTAAACTTCAATTCCAGGTTATTCTGTCTTTCTTTATAGATCAGCTTCCCTGGAGGCCTCCCAAGGCTGATCCCTGACAGGACTGGAGAACCAGGTGAGAGTCAGGGAACAGGGAAAGGACCAGACAGGAGGCTCAGAGTGGACAGCAGCAGGAATTTCCCCATGGAAAGGGAGCTCAGGCACTGGAACTGCCCAGGGAAGTTTGGAGTGCCCATCCCTGGAGGTGCCCAAGGAATTCCTGGAGGTGACACTGGGTGCTCTGGGTTGGGGACAAGGTGGGGATCAGGACTGGACCTTGGAGGGCTTTTCCAGCTTAAATCACTCCAGGGTTCTATTACTTTATTGACATCTTGTTGCTCAGATATTTTCATCGCTGTTCTGTTGTTTCTCTCCATGCCTGAATTATCTCACAGAGTTTCTATTTTGCCATTTTGACTCCAAGATTTTAATGTTTCTCTGTGCTTTATTCACTAGGATATGGAAATGCAGGATCCAGGATGTTCTCTAGCCTCAGCACAGCATCCCCTCTGCTCAGGGCCTCCCACTTTTGTGGAATTAGAACTTTTGGAGAGGCTTTTATTAGAAATACAAACAAGGAAATGTGGTTTTTTTTTTTTCCTCTCAGCCTCCACGTTTCACCTCAGATTTTCTCCCTCAAAGCATTATAAAAATAACAAGGGGCCAGAAGCCTTTCAACAAGTTTTGTGTTGAAAAACAACAAAATATCACAAAATACAAAGCCCCAGGTGGTTTTGCAAAGCACATGAGAAGATTTCAGTGACCTATGTGCATGTTTTGAATTTAAGTGTGAGCAAGAAGCACAGAACTTCTCCAACAGAGAAAAACTTCAGCCTTTAGGGTTTATTTATTTTAAAAATGTGACATCAAAGCAATTCCTTCCACCAATTATGCTGGATACAGTCACAGAGCCTCTGTGTGGCAGATCATAATAATTCCCTGATCTCTTACAAATAAAAATTCCTAATCCCCTGCTCAGCTTTTTCGTGAGTCAATAATCTCCTGCCTGGTTTTACATCCATGTAGATTATCTAAGGAGGATCAGAGCTGCCAGGCTGGTTTGGGGTGGAAGGGATCTTAAATCCCATCCAGTACCACCATGGGCAGCGACACCTTCCACTGTCCCACAGTGCTCCAACCTGGCCTTGGACACTTCCAGGGTTCCAGAGGCAGCCACAGCTTCCCTGGAAATTCTATTCCACAGCCTCTCCATGCTCACAGCCTGGAATTCCTTCACATTATCCAATCTAAACCTACTTCCTTTCCATGTGAAGCCATTTCTTCCTGTCCCTCCATCCCTTGCCCAAACTACTCGTGTTTAGGCAAAGAACAGCAGGAGTTTACACTGCAGCAGACACAGGGGTGTTTTTTCATTTCCAAAATGAAAAATATGAGCACAAAACCCATAAAACCCTTGATATTCACAAGATAGGACTCTTCATTTCTCCAAATCTATGATTGTTTCAGAATCAAAGCATGGTTTGAGGCAGAACTGACACCAGACCAGGAGGGGCAGAGCCACAGCAGCTGCTCATGGGCAGGGGAGAGGGAAAAAAGGGTGGAAAACCAAGTGGCAGCATTGGCTTCCCAAGGGAAGGTCAGCTGAACCAGGAAGGATGAATGGATAATATTTCATCATATATTCTTTATTTTTTAATAGTTAAGCTAAGTGAGGAATAAGTTTTTAAGGGAGGCAGAAGGGAATGATCTACAGCAAATTCCCCAGAAGGAATTTCCATCCCTTTTGAAGCTTTCACATGGCTACACGAGAGATCCCAGGTTAATTAGTGCTGTCACCATTAGTGCAGCTTATTTCCCAAGTGCCACAGCATCATTTGGCAAGAAAAGGATCCTTTGAGTGCATACAAGGGGGAAATTGCAGCAAAATATACAAGTTTGGCAAAAAAGAAAAGTGGTCCTTGAAGCAGCAGGCTGTGCAGTTTAACTTTCATTTTGACAGGCTGGATGTGTTTGATATGTCTATTTAATGGGCTTTTAAATAAAACCACTGTTACTATAGTAACATTTACATCAAAGGTTGTGCTCATGCTGCCTTTGAGGTACAGGAAACCAATCTGCTCTGCTCACCTTTGTGCTTCACGCTGATATTTTACATGGTAAACCTGTTTTCTAATAAATAACTTCCTTTTTTCAGAGTATTTTCCATCTCAGCTTGGAAATGAGGATGGATTTGAGGTGGTTGGCTTTGCAGTGACTAAGCCCTGTGTGTGGGAACACACTCCTGGCGCCAGGGAGAACAAGGATTGCATAAAAAGGAAACTGCAGCGTGGGGAAATCCATGCAGGATCCCTGCAATTATCCAAGGCCAGGTTGGACTCTTAGAGCAGCCTGGGATAGTGGGAGATATCCCTGCCATGGGAATGAGATGAGCTTTAAGGTCCTTTCCAAGCCAAACCATTCCAGGACTCTACAATTCCATAAAGATAACAAATTTTGCTTTTCTGCTCCTCCAGGAGGTTTTCCTGGTCAACTCTGCTTTCACTCAACAGCACCAGAATATTTACACAGCAAAACATGACCCTCTTTGGATGAGGAAATGAAACCACCCAGGGCTCTCAATTTCCCTAAAAAAGACTTTTTAGTCATGCATGTCCTTAACAGGAATTAGCAGCTGGAAAATAAAGAGGGGAAGGGGAAAGGTGAAGGGAACTTAGAGCCTTCAGACACCTCTCCAACAGCTTGACTCCACTTTTCCTTGTGTTTTTCTTCCTAATGAGCATCATTTGAAATCAGATTTTAGTGAAAATGTGCGTGGATGGGAGTGTGGGACAACCCAAACGCTGCTGCCCATGGAAAGGCAGCTTTGCTGATGTCATAACCATGAAAAAAAAGGGATTTACTTTAGATTCCAAAGCACTGTTTGGTCTGTTATCCCCACAATCCCTGCCAGGATGACACACTCAGCTCCATCTCAGCGAGGAGAAAGCAAACACCACGACTTTTTCCCTCAGGGGGTGGTGGTGGGAATCTATTTCCAGCAGCACTTCAGAAAAGCTGGCACCAATCTGGGTTCTCAAGTGGGATCTCACACAGAGGCCAGGAATTTACAGCATGGAGAGAGAAATGCTGCAGAAAATGAGAAGGTATTTTGAATAAATGCATTCATTTAAAAAAAAAAAAAAAAATTCTAGGATTTTATCAATTTAAATGTTTCTCAATCTGTCAAAAATTCAGTTTGTGATAGTCACAGACTCAGGAAAAAAAATACCAGATGGGTGGTTTAATCCAAATTGAGGCCGCTTTTTGTGGTTTTGGCTATGGAGAGAAGATTTTACTTAAATGTTTATATCTCAGTGATGAGTTCCATCCAACATGAAATAGAAACCCCACCTACTCACACCCACAATAAATGAAAATCATGGAAGGGATGGAAGAGGCCTTAAAGTTTTTTTTTAAAATGCCACCATATTTTCATTAGAGCAGAGGAAGTTCGAAAATGGGTACAAGGATCCTCCCCCACCTTGTCCCAGCATCCCAAAAGAGAAAAAAAACATTCCTAAATAAGAGACAACCTCACACATCTTTCATCCCAAAAGAGAAAAAAAACATTCCTAAATAAGAGACAAACTCACACATCTTTTGTGGCTCTTTTCAGCTGCATTATTCTTAAAAATCAGATTATTTCACCTAAACAGCAAGGGAAAGTGCTGGAATAGTGTCTGTTTTTTAGCTTCTACTAAGCACAGGTTTAGGCACTAATTTGCACTAATTTTGGGGTAAATCCTTGGAAAATTTGGGTTTCAGTGTCCAAAATCTGGCAGCATTTAAGCCTTCTTTAGTTGGAGTGTGGAATGGCCGGATGATGTTGATTTTCTGTTTATTTTCTAGATAATAACAGCTGAAAAGGAATTGCATGAGGGGAAAAAATACAGGGATCATGAGTGTGTGGTGGGAAAACAGGAAAAACCAGGCTAGGAAGGGAAGATATGGGAAGAGTGAAGAACAAGAAGCAGATGGATCCTTCTGGGGTGGGAATGATGTGTCCAGATAGTGCTGGCACAGAGGAAGTGTGAGTGAAGGGATGATCCTGGGATTCTGGCAGCAGGGAAAGGGTCAAGGACACAGAGTCCCACCAAAAAAGGGTAAAATCTGTGCGAGGGACTGGCAGGGATGCTGTGCCCTCAGATTTATGGGATGGTGGGAACAGCTGGATGCTGGATTCTGAAGTTATTCCCTCTTTATTTAGCAGAAAAATGGGAACAGAACTGCCTGGGACAGCCATTCCCAGATTTTGGTGCTTCTGGAGCAGGTTGGAAGCACCTGGAAGATGGAGAGGGGTGCTCTGTGTGCCTTTCCCCCAGGAATTCCACCTGGGAATATTCCAGCCCCAGGAACCTTTTCCACGTGCTCCTGCAGGAGGAGGGAGAGGCCGAGGCACTGCTGGGGCTGCAGGAGGTGGAAATGAGCAGGTCAGGGATCAGCTCTCCCACACTTGGCAAGGATCTCCCCAAAAAAAGCAGAATTCCAAGGAAATCAGACGGGAATTCCAGCGCTTCCACACCAGGAAAGAGCAGAGGTTCAAACACACTCCAGTCTCCACTCACATCCCAGGCCCTGTGCCATTTAAAATATCATTTTTGGACCTTCAGAGACGCTCTGCATCTCCAAACTCTCCCTTATTGATCAGGAATTTGTGGCAAAAGGTCTCCCCTTGAAGGCTGTCAAACACAAACCTGATTGGATTATCCAGTGCAGACAGGTTTTCCCTTCACAAAGGTCACATTTATTTAATGTAGAGTTATTCCATCCTGGATCTGGATATCCGAGCACCCCTGAATCATCCCAGTTCAACATCAGCTCCTTCCCTCCACATCACCACTCCCACTTCTTTCTACATGGCTTAATAAGAGATAAAATTGACTATTAAACTTGATTAATAACATTAATTTCAAAAGGTTTCATATTAGGGCAGGAGTTGTGAGGTTTAAATGGGACCAAACCAGCCCAAATCCTGCTGCCACACTCAGTATCCAAATAAAAATACAGCCCTAAGGAATGACCTATTACTGCCATTTAAAAGTTAGCAACTATCAATTTAATCCGATTACTAAAAGTGCTACAGGAAATCAGGCATTGACTGACCCTCAAAATGAGTTTACCTCATTGCCTGCCCATTACAGAGCAGAAAATACAATTATTGCAGGAACTTGGAGCACCTCACACAAAACTGAAGGGTTGTGGGCAATAAAAACATTTCAATGTCAGACAAACAGGTGGCAGAAAATTGGTTTTGCCCTTTGATTTACTTAAAATTCTGCAAAGAATCCAAAAGTTTGGGAACTATTTGGAAATGATCATCCCAAACTGACTTTATTTCTGTTTTAATTCTTCCCAACACTAAAGGAAAAGGGAGCAGTGCTGTCACTCACTGTCACTTCCATCACTTGTCAGAGGCGTCACTGCATCAACAAGAAAATGAGACTAAAATTAAGTTAATTGGGCAATTTTTCACACCAAATCAAAGGCCACATTTTAAAAATACCTCACAGCCCACAAAGCTTGAGAAACCATCTCAAAACACCACACAGTAAAACAAGCACATTTCTTTTCATAAAATTAGTAATGAGGGGTTTCTATTTCACAAAAATCCCTCTGACATTAAAAACCTTCCAAATATGACAAATCAAGCCCTGTAAAAGAGCAGAGAAACAGAGAAACCTGTGATGATCTTCATGTGTCCAAAGGGAGGCAAATAATCCCAATCTTAATTGAGGATATTGGCTGAATCCTAATTAACTTTCCACATTTCTCACTTCTGAGACTCCCAGACAAAGGCTCCACATTTGGAAATTGTTTCTAATGATTGGCTGCTATTAAGAGATCCATGAAAACTGATTTATTTTCTGCTGTAAATTTTAATTAAGCAGCAAAATATTTATTAGGAATGCAATCTTTAAAGGAATGAAAAGAAAAGCCAGCATACTCTGAACTAAGTTATATTAGTTTGTATAATCTGATTTAAAAGATAAATTTTCTTTCTGTATGCAGGAGAAATATTCTGCTTTTCTTAATCTGTTATAATGAAACAGTTTTACATACAAATGTCACCCTCACTACTCTTATTCCAAGTATTGCTTTCAAAAGCACTTTAAACACCCTTTAACTTGTCCCCAAATCCTCAAAAAGCCTAAATCACCCAAGCAGCATCTGCCATTTGTTCACATGGACCAAGAAAAGCAAAGTGGCACAGTCAGGGTATTGGGAAATGAAGCTCCAAGCAGTGATAAATCAAAATTCAAAGGTATTGATAATCTGAAATGATCCCTTGGGCCCACCAGAGACCCCAGCATTGCTGTTAGTACCTCAGAATTATTCTCCTTTTAAGGGTTTCAAATAATTTAAAACTCCAGCCCAAATATGATTTCTGCTTTGTGTTCTTTTAACTCCACAACAGTGAGCAACTCATTTTCTCAGCACTGCCCATGAAAACAAGCAATTAAAAATAAGTAACACCCCAGAATTCCCACCAGTTTGGCTGCAGGCAGGCAAAGAGTTAAAAAAATATTAGGGGTTTGATGCCAACAGCTGGGCTGCTGTAACTACAGATTTGAAATTCCTCCTACAATCATTGCACAGAAGTCTTCCCTGAATGAAAATCTGCAAAAGGAAGGCTTATTATCATGTATAATGTGTATTTGTTATCAACATTAGGTGGATTTATTATTAATACCATGTGTCACTTTGTCACTACATCCAAGTTACTCAACTAAATACAGCCATGGGTTGAGTCTCACTTGAAAACAATCTTTTACCTGTTCCCTAAGAATTTTCTGAGGGAAAAGAGGGATGATTTTATAATCCCTGCTGTCTCCCCAGCAGGATCTCCCTCAGAGGTGGCCAGACAAGTGTGGAATCTCCTGCACAGGCAGACAAGGTGAGGCACAGGGAGCAGGGACCAACCAGTCCATTAGAAAGATGAATATCCAGAATATTTCAATCTAGAACTGTTCTGTAGGAAGTAATAATTCCATTAAAAAAAAATAAGTACTGGTCATGGGGAATAAACACCTGTAACCCATTTTTAATGTAACCCAACCTCAAAATAAAGGGCAAAAGCAAACCAATAAAAAGAGATAAATACAGGATGGGTCTCCAGCTGATCTTTAAAATTTGATCCCAATTCAGCAGCCAACGCTCTCTTATCCATTTTATCAGCTTTTCCCTGGAAAGCCCTGCAGTAGGAACTGGCCAGGAGTTTGCAGGGGCCACTTTAACAAATCAATGGCTCATTAGCACCTGATGAGCATCCAGCTTAATGAGAGTCCATCCATCCTTCATCAGAGGCCAGGAACATTCCCTGCAGAGCAAAGGCTGGAGGATCTGAAGAGTCCTGCTGCCTTCAGAATGAGATCAGGGTTATAAAGCTCATTTTAGAGCTCTCCATCATTTGCAGCTGAACATCACGATTTGAAACGTGTCACTTTGTCTGGGTATCACTCATTACACTCATTTCATGGGATTAAAGGCTGTTTAAAGGTTTTGGGAAGTTACCTGAGGTCGTAACAACTGCTCAGGAAGGTCACCAATTCTGAGAGGATTGAAGAACCCACAAAACCAGACCGTGACCAGCACAGGGAGTGCTGGTTTGTTTTATCCAACTCAGTGGATGTGACAAAATAACCAAAATAAATCAGCTGAACGAGGGTGGGAGGGACAGGAAATCCAAGTTACCCCACACAGACACCGCCCCCAAATCCAGCAGCAGGTTAAAAACAGGAGCTTCAAGCCTAGAGCTGATGTGACTGTGCCAAAGGTGAACAGCATTCCCAAACATTCCCTGTGCACAGCAGCTCTCTGATCCACACTCACCTTCCCCAAGGCCTTGTACTCAAGGCACTGCTGTGAAAATCAAGTTCCAGCTCTTCCAAGCTGCTCCTGATGGTGAGGGATTCAATAACTCCATTTTCCCAAGCTCTGGGGAGATCAGAATTCCCCACTTCAGTATTTTCATCACCTTAATTCCAGGAGAAGTGATCTGGAAGAGGAGAGCTCTGATGCCCTCTGCATCCCTGAGGATTTTACTCCAGACCCCCTGGAAGAAAGGGATGTGGAAAAGCTCAAGCACTACCTCACATCCCATCTTTTTTTATGGAATGCTTTTAAAACCCCCCCAGATCCACTAGGTACACAGGAGATAAGTGATGATCCTTTACCTTTCCAACACATCCTACATGAAATCCTCTTCCATGGCTCCTGGAATTTCCCATTCCACCATCAGGAAAGCAGCACTGGACGTGTTTTACCTCACACCCATCTGTTGTCACCTCTTGAAATTTAAGGCAGACAAATTTTGAAGCATCAGATATGTTTATTAGACAATTCCAAAAGTCAGTTTTAGTAGGCAACTCGGAAAGAAAAGTAGAATATATTTGAATGTCCGTGTTGGAATACTTCATCATGTCAAGGAATCAATCACAGGAGATAAAAACTGGTTACAAAAGGTACAAAAGCTGCACTGAATTCCCACTGAAAGCAAACAGCATTAATTGACAAAGAAGCTTTGGAAAAAACACAGATTTCCAGCTGATTATGGAACACTGATCTTGCCAGGTAGGTGCAGTCACAAAAATCAGCGTTGTGTGGAAATTTAAGGCACTTTGGATACACAGTATTCACTTCCACACAGGAAAACCATTCCAGAGAAACCATTCCAGAGGGATGGGACGGAATTCCCAGTACAGAACATCAGAGCTTAGCAGGAGTGAAGCTCTGGAGAAAGAAACCCCACTGAAGTATTATTTTTTACCATATTTGATAACAAAGTAAATTTACTTGACAGAGGTTAAGGGAGATCTCCATGATTTCAACAAAATTTTAAACATTAAAGTCCATGTGAAAACAGCATGAAATTCACATTAGGGATTAGTGCACTTAGCTACCTCCAAATAATAAAAATAATAATAAAAAAAGCATTGACCTTCTCCACTCAACCTCCATGAGGTACCCACCAACCACAGCCCAAAGGGGATACAGTACAACGGGAAAATTTGGCAAAAAGCAATTTAAAACAGCATTTTCTGCTCCTCCTGGCCACTTGAGATTGTCCTTGTCCACTGTTCCTGTCACACACTACAGCAGAGCCCACAAAGAATGATTTATTTTAAGGCAAAATTCAATCTCAGTTGGTTTTCCTCCCCAAAACTCCATCAGTAATTGAGTAGTTTTGTGGATTTCTTTCACAGCCTTTGGTATATAAATGGTGTAAAAGCTTTCCAGAATCCAACCCCAAGCCAAGAGGAGTTAAATGGAATTGTTAGCAATGGAATTAAGAATTTATCATCAGGACCTGACCAGGTTTTATTTCACTGTTTTACCTCATTATTGAGTGAAAAATGCCACTGTATAGGAAAAAAAAAGGCATCTTCTTTAAAAACAAAGCAGGATTTAAACATGGAGATGATGTTTAATCTGAAAAATCTGATTTATCATTAAAACAAGGGATTTCCCTAGTTCCAACAGATTTCAAAAAGCAGGAAGAAGACACTCAGATAATTTGTTATTCCCAGGATTTTTTAAGTTTGTCCTGCTATGTCTTGGATGGAGCATTAACATCCAGAAAAAACCCGTCCTTTAATGTTAACTCCTCTTTTAGCAGGAGACAGCCTGGAAACCCTTCAATATAAAATACAGCTCAGCTGTTCCTTCCCACACAGCTGAAATTTCCATTGAAAACATGGAATTAACCTTCCTGAAATTCCATTTTCCATTCCTGCTTGAGCCTTATCCCACGACTGGGGACCACAAAATTATTTCTGTCCCCATTTCAGAGCGCTCATGTCATTAATTACTGACCTTTCCCTCTGTTCTTACAAAACTAAAGTAATAAAATTGTATTTTCTCAAGTGTGATTATGTGAACATTTACTAGGATAATGCTATTTGAAAATATAGTGTTTTAATGTAATAACAACCTTATTCCAGATTTTAAAAAAAAATAGGAGTTGAAGAAGTTTTAAAAGCAAGGAGGAAACAAGAAATCCTACCCAGCAGAACACTCTGGGTGCAATACACACCCATAAAAATACAGAGCTGAGCACTAAATTGTGATTTTAAGTGTCCTGAGGGTAGTTTCTCCTTTTGTGAACCTCCACAGAAGTCCTGTCAGCTTTAAGATGCATTAAAATATATTATTCCCCAAATACAGGCACAATTTTTAAACTGAATAGGGACAGAAAATATCTCTGTGGGGAGAAAAATTATCTTTAAACAAACATAAGTGGAAGGGTTTTTAACCAGAGTTCTTTTCTTTTGCTTTCATTAGGCAATAAAAGTTGACATCACTTATGTTTGGCTTTGTATCATTAAGAAAAATTACAATTTTTTCTCACATTACAATTAATGAGATGTAAATGAAATAATAACCTAATCATCCCAATTAAAGCAGAAAGATTGATCAAGTTGAGCAATCCCAATGAGGATAATTTTTATATTATTCTTTGATTATATGGTTAAAAACCCAACAGGAATAGTGACCAATGGCTCAATGACATTGCAATTAAACCAAAAATTAATGGGTAAATCCGCTTATGTTTTGTAAACTTCTTCAAGGATAAATTCATAATAATCCCAGATTTTAGTGACTACTTCAAAGCCAACTGTCAGCACTGTCCCTTTGGCTGAAGTACATTTCAAAAAGCAAATTATTACGTGATAATGTAAAGCCACGTGAATTTTATAACATACCACACACGTTATAATATCTGTACATACACACAGAACAGGAGGGGGGAAAAAAAGCTGTAAAATATTCCAAATTACCAGCACCACAGTGAGCTCCTACCACTGCTCCCAGCTAAAGTCATCTCCTCTGCCAAACACAAGGAAAAAGCCTAAAATAGTAAGGAAAATGACTGCATTGCCAGCCAGCACCAGGCCACAGGCTCCCCATTTGATCTGAAATGCAAGAAATGGAACAATCAAAGCAGTTCTTGGAAGAGATGCTCAGGGCAGTTAATTCTAGGCATTAGATCAGCTAAAACACTAAAAAAAAAATAAATCAAAATACTACAGAAAGAGGCTAAAAGCAGAAAAGGCAAACAATAAATAATTCAATTTGTGTGACTAATTATTCAATTAGCAGCCACTCGTATCACTAATAAACACTTCAGCCAAGCTACTGCTAGGATTTAGAAGAAAATGATGACTTGCCTTACAAATCATTAAAACACACCTAAATCAGAGAGAAATCTGGTGAAATTCATGCTCTCCTTTCATTGCCATGCAACAAAATCAAAAGTTCTCCTTTCAAATAAGTAACAGGCATGGAAAACGTGGATTTAAAAGTGAACAGGTTTTTTTTTCCTAACGAGCTGCACAAGTAATTTACTTAAATAAGCAACATTTACTCTTTAAATACATGACTGAGAGTTCCCTCTCGTGGTTGTTCTGCTGCTGCCAGGCCACAACTCCAAAATAAAAATATCAGGGGAATTGGGCATTACAAATAAATTCAGAGCAAGTACACAAAATTTAAAGGACTGAAAGTGAAGGGGAAATCCAGCAGGACTCAGTAAAACATCACTGGGTGGTTGAGAAATGGGACAGGGGAAATTCTTTGCCTTTCAGACAAATGTGACCAAAATCTCACCACCAGAGAAGAGTTCAGAAAGCAAAGAGGGAAGAACTCAGGCAGAGTTTCCTCAGGTTTTGAGGGGCCAAAGCTTGGGAAATGCTTTAAGAGCTACAAGGGCAGCTCTGGAAGCTTGGCCTTATATCTTTTAGCTCCTAACACGCCCCAGTCCCCAAGTCTGCAGCATCCTAAATGGAGAAAGCAGTCATTCCAAGAGAAAAACAAGGAAGCTGGAGCAAGAAGTGATGCAAAAGGGTCATGAGACAGAGAGGCATGAGGTGGAGGAGGAGATATTATCTTTTGTTGGACCAAAACAAGGCTGAAGGGAGGGACAAAACCAGCTAGAAACTTTTCAGTCACACTGAGTTCTTTTTTTCAGATCAAAAATGGAAATTTCAGCAGATCATTCCCACAATAACGAAACAAAAGCAGGATTGAAGATGACACCCAGTGAGTGGTGTCTGAGAATAAAAACTAACGAGGACTTACTGCTTCCACCCGTGCAAGGATGATAGGAAATCCAAAGGCAGAGACAACAATTCCTGTGGTGAAGAAATAGGCCAGCTCCCTGCAGGCACTGCTGGCTGCATCACTGTCATCACCCACTCTCTTGGCAATGAAGTGAGGAATGGGGCAGATGAAGTAAAATATTAACACAAACAGGGGCCAGTACACACTGGGGAAAGGGGGGGAAAAAAGAAATGTATCAGCAGTTAAAACACATACTTCAGTCAGAAAGCTGGTGCAATACTCCTAATCCTAGTTTTTGGCTTGAAAAGTGGATTAATCCACCCAAAATGGGGCAATTCCACCTCGTTGTGCCTGCACTGATAGAGCAGCATGCACCCTCTCACACGAGCAAGTGTTAATTTCTTTTACTTTGAATTTGATTTTGAATCATTTTGCTGATTCAACTCTGACCACAGAGGGAGCAGGAAATGCGCTGGAGCAGGCCAGGAGCAGTTCTCCCAAATTCCAGGGATAAAGCAGGCACACCCTTGCATCTCATCCCTGTGTCAGAGCTATCATAAGCCTCCTCTGAATTTTAAAGCGTTACAGACACAAAATGAGGGAATTACAGAAGAGTTAGGGCTGGAAGGGAACCCAGAGCTCACCCAGTTCCAGCCCCTGCCATGGGTGGGGACATCCCAAATGGAAACTTGTGGGAGGAGGATTGTTCAAACCAACAGGAAATCAATGGAAATGCTTGTGTGAGATTAAAATAGGCACTTTAGCAAGGTGGCACCGCTTTTCCAGAGGCAGCACAGAGCTGCTTGCAGTCTTTTTATTTTAATGGAAATGCAAATACCGCCCAAGGAAGTGATGTGTAATCACAACAAACTGCCACGTGCCAAGAGGCTGAGCGCGGTGGGGGCTGCAGGAGGAGCCCAACAGCTCCATTAAATGAGAGCAACGCCTTCATTAATGGATTTTAAACAGGACAAGCTTTGGGAAGGGCGCCGGCCCGCTCACCCGTAGTACTCCAGGGCGCAGCCCAGCATGAGGAACGTCAGCCCGATGGCTCCGCTGAAGGACAGGGCCACGAGAGCTGCAACGGCACAGGCCGGGCGGTGAGGCGGGGCCGCCACACCGGGCATCCCTCCCGGGGCACCGGCAACCG